TAACCTCCAAGACCCCTTACAACCCTGTTATTCTGTTCTGTTCTTATGCACCTGGTTTCTACTGGGAGCCTAGCCATATAATGCCTGACTGGTAAAGGCATTCTCAGGCATTAGGTGGTTTTACTGTTTTTTTGAACGAGTGCTACACTTGCCCTCTCCTGCACCATTTTCAATGTTTTATGTAGTATTTCTAGGTGCTGGACACCAGACAATCCTTGCCAGGCAGCACTATCATTCCCTCACAAAACTTGTCAATTCTGCTCTTCTGCACCTGTCCTCTGTACCTGTGACTTGTCAGTCGTGTCATTTTTAAGAGCCCTAATCTCATTTAAAAACAACAACAACCAGACTTAATGTCATACCGTAGTCATCAGCCATTTTTGAGCTGGCAAATTAAAAGGTGGCTAAACCCACTTGTCTGCACTTGTCTATCCCACCACATGAAGTGGCAGAATTCGTCAACAATCTTCTTTAACTTGGTTGACAGCAAAACTATGAAACCACACCTCTGACTGGGTTCATCACTGAAGTAGAATAAGGCTTAGTAATTGGGGTGATGAAATTTATGATTATATATTTTCTACTAAGTCAGAGATTAGAGGATTAGACATTAATATGACTGTGAAGAAGAATCCTTAGTCATATGTGTGAACCTGCAAGCCATGATTTTTCAGTCAACCATTAAGTAGCCCATTGTCTAATACAGTTGTGAACCTAGCGTAGTCTCTCATAAAAGAGAAATAATTGTGACACTGACATCTAGGTGTACCCACTGGCATGATGTATGATCACAAAATAGTTGTCCAAAGGTATATTTTAATAATGTGCCAAGCTATAGGGCTTACTCAATCATGTCTTCCTGAAAAAATTACAATTTGCTGAATTTGCATTAGACGTAAAGCCATAGACAATGGTTGCAACCCACAGTGGCTGGAATCATACAATATGCTAAGCCTCACATAAGAAAACTGTATTATAGCATGACGTCTTATCTGAATCTAGCCTGTGCATAAATTTTTGTTTTCATTTTTTATTTTTTGCATTTAATTATTATACATCAGCCACTCTGCTATCTACAAATTAAATAAATTCCTATTCGGCAAGAATCTACATTGGAGGGTATCTTTTATTAAGTCTTTTATTATTCTTATTTAAAACATTAGCAATATATGTAATTAATTGCTTTATACAAAGTATACTCCCTTGAAGATAAGAAATGATGGGATTCTGAAATGTACTCTTTTATGTAATTATTAAAAAGCCCATCCTTCTTTCAATCAATGGCAATGTAATTCACTCCCAATTTTTGTATTGTAAAGCCTTTCCAATGCAAAGAGAAAACAGTAAGTACTGCAGCAAGAAGCAACAATCCAATCCACCCTAAAGTAAAATTTTAATATTCCATGAAGAATTTCTCACTTATTTGATATTCTCTGAGTTTGCACAGTAAAGGCTTTTATGGCACTTTCAAGCCATCAAGTTTATTATGACATAAGCTTACGTAGACTCTGATTTAATCATTTATAGCCATTTTTTTACCCATATGCATTCTCATCTATAATCAAAAATTAAATATAATTTGGGTAAAATATATTTTAAAAAATCAAAATCATTATTCCTAATTAAAAAAAGGGCCGACTGAGTAGGAATAGCTTGATTCTCTTCCCAAAGACAGCCAAAGAATCCTATGTAGATATTGGGGAAAAAATATTTCAATGGGAGCAATGGGAAAAAGTGTCTGAACCGTGAGAAAAGCAGCAGGCAGCAATAATTGAACGATAGAATGCCAAAGAGGCTCTAACTTAAATGAAATGAATCAAAATACTCGACACATTCTTGGCTGTTCGTGCTCTTGGGATGTAAAAGCAAGTACAGTTTTTTTAAAGTCTGTCAGCTGTGATTTTTGTTTGTTTGTATTGGTCGACGGGAGTTAAAAACCATATCATCCTATCGCACAGTACTCCACGCATCTAAATCAAGTCTCATTTTGAGCCACTCGCTTCACGTTTTAGAGAAATCAATAGACGTGTACCGCAGAATCTAGCTTGCTATTCCAGGCTGCTTTGCCAATGGCTGAAGCAGAATAGTAGGTGGAGCCACGTCGGTTTAAGAGACACGTGTACAGAGGAACCAGGAAGCGACTGCCGGAATTGGAATAGCCGCTGTATTTTGCAACATCTGGGTGATCTTATTGAGTGTATGTAGTGAATTATTACTTTTAAATAGAATGGGTTATTATTTAAAAAAAATCCAGGAGAATACATTGAAAGCAAGCACCCAGGCAGGCAAAATCCTTGTGGTATATTTTAGGAGATTTTATCTTTTTAAAAAACCAAACAAATCGGGATTAGCACTGGGAAAAAATGATCTAACATTTTCTACTTGTCAATTTTATATCTTAGATTTTTTTTACAGATTGTTTTAAAAATGGACTGCAAATAGTTGTGTTTTTATATATATATATATATATATTATGGTGTGGCAATCAGACCTATTCATTCATTTTGGTGCCTTTCACGTTATGGGTGCACAGAAATGAAAATGGTCCATATGGACAGATTAGATACAGCGTGATTAAAATAGAAGAAATCTTAATTGTTTGAAATTGTTAAATTGGCGACGATAACATTATTGTGGAACTTCATATAGATTGATTAAGTAACCTGGAATAGTGCCTCCTCGATCCTTCCCCAGGGTTGCAAGTTCTCAGATAAAAATCTTAAGAACCTTTTCGGGCAGAAATCGATGGTAGGAGAATGTTCTGTGACAGTTTCTTCTCCCTCCCCGTTGTAGCTATTCACTAACTTCCTTAATGAGAATTAATGCTTCACTTGAAAGGCAAAAATAATTTTCTTTCAGTTCGGCCAATCATCTTAAATAATGCAAGTCAAAAACACAATCCAAAGATTAGGAACTCACCTGATGTGCCTTACAATGATTTATGGTTTAATACAAACCAGATACCTATGCTTGCTCATTAAATCATTATTAAAACAGCTCATGGTTTATTGTAATATGTAAATTCAGCTAGAAATAAATCTTGGTTCGTGAAGGACTCACATGCTTAGAAAGAATTGCAAAAAGGCTAGAGATAGATTCAAGAATTTTGACTCACCCTACCAGATGGAGTATTACATGAGCAAACACCTGTTTGAATACGGTTAAAAGAATAGATAACTTTGGATATAAAGGGGCCATACAATAAGAGGGATAAGAGATATAAGTAATATAGTATTTTCCATAATATATGAAATGTAAAGATATTGGGATGATGTATGTGAATGAAAAGTTTGAAATCTAAAAATAAATTAAGTTGAAAAGAACTAGGACTAAGGAATGACCGAAATACTGAAGTGAAATTAAACTTAAATAAGACATTTTGAAAATAGGATATATAGTGATTTAACAAATTAACTTTTACAAATATAAGTGAAATATAAATAGATCAAAAAGATGTTATAGGTAGATGTTATAAGATAGGTAAGCAGTATAGTATTTTTACAACGTGTGAAATATGAAAACATTGGGATGGTGTACCTAAATGGAAAATCTGGATATTTAGATGATTAATATTGAGAAAATTATGACTGATAATGGTTTGAATATTAAGGGAAAATTAAACTTAAATAAGAACTATGAAAATAGGATGTATGGTAAACTAATAAGATGATTTTTATAAAAACAATATAAGTTGGTAAGAAAAAATGTCATACATAGATGTTATTATTTGTACAAATATGAAAAAAGTTTATATTTATGCATTGAAAATATTACGAATTATGCTTGTTTAAGGTTGAAGGAGAATACTATTGGGAGAAGGGAAAATCAAAGATATATACTATTAATACACCAATTATGGAATTACAAAAATTAATTATTATTGACTGTTAATTAACTATTATTGATTGATTTTCTCAAAATATATGAACCAGGGCAACAGGCTATACACTAGGCACTGAGGATTGTTATTATAAAAAATGAATAAAACATTTTAAAAAAAAGAATTGAAACCACATTCCAATTTTATGAGGAATTGAAGGATGAGAGAAATTGTCCAAGGACCCACTCCTTATAATATTTCCTATATTGCTCAAGTTATCCTCCATTACAAGAATGGGTAATATTTTGGGTTGGGAATATTTGAAACTTTGAAGGCATGTGGTTATTGCTTTGATCCAATGGCTGCCATGAGAGGCCTCATAAAGAGGTGGTGCAGCTGTTAAAATGCGGTATTTCAGGCTAATTCTGCTGACTGACAGCAGTTCAGTTCCCATGGGCTCAAAGTTGACTCAGCCTTCCATCCTTCTGAGGTCAGTAAAATTAGGACAATATGTTGGGGGCAATATGCTATCTCTATAAACCGCTTAGAGAGGGCTGTAAAGCACTGTGAAGCAATATATAAGTCTAAATGCTGTTGCTATTGATCTTTTCACTAAATGGCTCCTACATGGTGGGTGTGGCCAATCACAAAATAGCAATTGACCAGAAGGCAAGCAGATAATATTGCTTCACCCCCTCAACTTGGAGAGGCAGACATACTTCTATTGGAAACATTTTGCTTCCCTTTTTTGTTTTCTAAAAATGTCTATAAAGCCAAAGTGGGTCCAGAGCCATATTGTAAATAAGGATGATTCTGAGGGATAGTGGTTTGCTCTAATTTTGGTTATATTTAATTACAAATATCTAATAATATATGAATAAATAGGCACTTTATGCATATATGATGATCATAGGTAACATATTGCCAACTTCAAGGAAACACTTTGAGGAGGAGACACAAATTAGATAACTTTATAGCTATAGACCAGGGGTGTCAAACTCAATTTCATTGAGGGCCGCATCAGCATTGCGGTTGCCCTCGGGGGGCCGGGTGGGTGCAGCCTACTGGGTGAGCGTGGATGGAGTGGGTGTGGCCTACTGGGTGGGCATGGCCAGCTCTACATCGTTCGTATCAAGGGCAGGAGTGTGACAGATCTGAGGTTCTCTGGCAGAACGGGGTGGGACCGGGGCAAGTACCAAGGCATGGTGCATTTCTTCATTCCTCACAAAGGGTGACACCTCCCCAGCATGCACCCAGGGGCCGGGGCCGACACAGTAGGGGCTGGTTCCTCACTGTTTCTAGACGGCCTTGTGGAGCTAAGACTGAATGCATTTCACCATAGATGGCCACCACAAAATTGTACATTGGCTCGCGGCCAGCCTGGCCAGGGCCAAGGCAGTGGGAGCCGTTCCCTCACTGTTTCCAGGATGGCTTCGCGGGCGACATGAAATCACGTCATGAGCCGCATACGGCCTCTGGGCCTTGTATTTGCTATAGACAATAGACAAAATGTATTTCTAAAATAATACTTAATTTTGATTGGCTCAGATTTTAGGTTTTCTACCTAATGTTCCTTTCATGTTTAGCAGGTCTTCAAATCTAGGATTACTCATTATGATACTTGGTTACAATCCAGTGTTGCAAGCACTGCTAGGAACCTTACTGACGTGGGGATTGACAGCTGCTGGCTCAGCACTTGTATTTATCTTTTCCAGTGGGCAGGTGAGTCCTGAACTTTTTTGGTGCAAATTTCAAAATTAGAGGATGAAAAATGTCATTTTCAGCATTAGGTGTGATAAAAATGTGAGCGTGGAGTATAAGTATGAATCTGATGATGATCATAAATACTAATTATGGCATGTGGGAGTTATGTGATATAGACGGAAAAAGAAATGAGTTTGGTATTAAAATATTATACCTTTCATTAATACTCTGCAACATTTAACTGAGATTGGCTAGAGATGCTTGTCTCTAGCTTTTGCATTTTTTTAGAAGAGTAAACCAAATTGCTACCACAGATAAATGAGTCGTCTGATATCATAAATTTGAAAGATTTATTATTACCTAGGTTTTAGTAGAATAGATCCTTCTAAAACACTTTGAGAGTTATATTTATGATACCCCAAACCATACTTACCAACTGTAGTAATTAGATCTTATTTTAAATACATGACTGTTGTGGCTATCTTTAACCCATGTCCTGACATCTGGAATTACCCTTGAAAGGTTTCAGGAATTTACAGTTGTTGCAAAAGGCAGTTGGCTAGGTTCCTAAACAGTGAAAGAGGTATGCTAAAATTGAAGGAGAAATTCCCTTTTTTGTGCTTCTTCTATTAGTCTGAATTTTGGTGGACAGAAGAACTAACCAGTATGTGTTTACAGTAGGTTTCCCTGTTCATGCGCTTCAGATATACTGCTATTATAGGTGTCAGCATTCCCTGCCTGCATGGTGGTACTAGATGAATATTTTAGGAATTGAAGAGGATATCAAAATGGGGAATAATGGTGCACTTTGAAGCTTGATGTCTTTGTTAAATAGGGACCAGATTTTTAACTCTGTATATTGAATGTTGTCTTAGTTTTACACAAGACTAACATACACTTAGATTGTTTTGTATATTATGGTAAGCTATAGTGCAATTTGTTTGTGCTTTTGGTCAGCTCAGTTGTTGTCTGCAAGCTATATTTTATGGCTTAGCATGTTGCATGAAGCCAGCAAATTAACATTTAATAAATTATGATTCAGCATCAAATATGAAATTAGTATGTTGCTGCCGTATACAGTATCTCTTCTGACCATTTGTAATCTTACATTTGCAGAGACAAATCCTGGATGGAAGTCTAGGCTTTGCTGCAGGGGTATGTAATAACTTGATTTAATTTATAAATTAAAGCTTCTTAAGTTTGCTTTGACTTATCTGACCTCCCCATTGTCAATGATGTTTTATCTGTTGGCATTAGGACTTCTGGATGAAGTTCCATGAAGAATCATCTGTTCTGATTAGGTTTGGTGGTATCATGCCGTTCATCAACACTCTTCTCCTTTGCCCCCATAATTGGGTGGAGCCAAAGGTTAGGCCCTATTTGCATTTGTGAGTTGTCAGAAGGATAAAGGGAAAAATGGGTGCTTATATCTTATAAATAACACACATTTCATCCCTTCAAACTCTTGAAGCTTCTCCCTTCTAAAAGTTTCAGGTCCTCTTCCGTCTAGTTATGGGTTTTTTTGACATGTTGTCAGACTTGTGAGGTAGTCCAGACATGAGGCACACCCATTTGAACTAATTCTACTTTATTGTATGGTTAATAGAATTTTGGAAGTCTGAAAATACATTTCTCTTCCCTCACCTTTACAGCCCAAGAATCTAAGGAGGGTTCCTTCTGAGATGTTTGCCATGCCCACATACCTGCTGTGGGTTAAGTTGTCTTTTATCTAACTGTCCCCTGCTGTGGCTCTCTCGCTCGGCTCCCAAGGTGATTCCCACATAGCATTATATCTGCCACCCAAAATCCAGCATTGCCTATTAGCCAACATTAATTGTACATCCTTGCCCTGGAGACAATGGGACATGTGTCAGCATCCAGATGCTATGGATATCAGGAAAACGCTACCTGTAAAATGGAAATTATTTCTGAGATAAAAGTTATTTTGTTTGCATTTTTATTGTGTCTCTCTGACATTTTCAAAAGTAGAGTTTTATTTTTAATCTCTATATACACTGTCAAAGTCATTAGTTAGTATTCCATGTGATGTAACATTTTGGGGCATTTGGGGGATGGGATGGGGTGGGGGTGAAGTTTCTCATCTTCCAGAAAAAATGTGAAATGTGTAGGAAAAAATGGAAAAATGTGAAACATTTCTCTTATTAAATCTAGATTTTATTTTTTCTGCTTTAAAATAAGAATACAGAATTGAAGCAGAATATAACAAGATCAGGGAATCTTCAATTCATAACAAAAGGTTGCATCTCTTTTTTTTTATAAATTTATGAAATGTAAGGCTAAATCCCCTATATTTTAATAAGTAATATTTGTGCATATAGCCAATTCCGGAAATGGAATTGCGTGGTGCTAGATCTTGAGATATTTCATTTTGTAATGTGGGAAAGAAAGGAATAAAATATTAGTGGGCAGAAGGGGGAAAGACATTATTGTCTTTCCCCCTTCTTGAAATATTCACATTTCAAGATTTAGGTGTATGTTGGTGGGTGATAGAAATATGTCATGGTTTTTATAGACTAATGAGTTTTTTTTGTTTATTTAAAATTTATATCTCATACTTAATATTTATTATCCCATTGAGATATCTTTAGAGCTATAAAAATACATACGTGATTTGGAAGCAAGTATTTCATGTTAATTCCTTAAATGTATGGGTGCGTTTGCAAATTGTTCATTATTTACCAGAAGCATTTGTAATCCACTTCAATCCCAAAGGGTTTTGGCAGGCACAAAATATTTTAGAGCTAAAAAAAGAAACTCAAAAACACCCTCTCTCTAATTCAGATAAGTTGGGTGGTAAAAACTATGTTTATTACTCTTTATTATTTATTATTCATACAAAATTGGCCATGTTAGTAAATTTGTGCTAGGACAATATTAGGGCTACTCTGTGGTTACAAAAAAAGGGAATTTTTGGAATTCCAGGGAAGGTGTTGCAAAAGTGGAAGTTGTGTGTTTGTTTGTGTGGGAAAGACATGAGAGAGTGGTATGATATTAAAATCCTGACATCTGTAGAGTTGTAGTCTCAAGAAAAAATATTGGAAGATGATATGGATATTCACATTTAACTGCACCTCCTGTAGTAATTGGATGTAGAACTGGACTTGTGACACGAAGAAAAAAAGCCCTTGCTAGATGAATTTAATTGTCATCAATACATAGGAAACTGGTTGTCTACAATTTCATAAAAAAACCTACTCCATTTAGTGTTACAAATGACAGTTGGGCATGTTTGATGTATTTCAGTTGTGTTGCTTAATGTATTTGAAAACACAAGGAATGTTGCCCAGCTGCCAGTTCAGGTAATTGTTTGGGAAATATATTAATTTCTCATCCAATATTTTTCAGTCAATAATTTAGTGCCACCCAAATGCTCTATAAACAACTAGGTGCAGCCAGTTGTACTGCAAAAGTTGGCCATCTGGAAAGGAGTCAACAAAACACATTTTCAGGCTGTTCTTTTTATTCAGTTTTTATTCTCTTTTTTTCTTCTTGACATGTGTGTCTTTCTTCAAGCATATTCCAGCAACAGGAAAGTTACAGGTGGTCCTTGACTTACAATCACAATTAAGCCCAAAATTTCTGTTGTTAAGTGAGGTAGTTATTAAGTGAATTTTGTCCCATTTTATGATCTTTCTTGCCATAGTTCTTAAGTGAATCACTATAATTGTTAAGTTAGTAAAACAGTTGTTAAGTCAATCTGGCTTCCACATTGACTTTGCTCCTCAGAAGATTGCAAAAGGTGATCACATGACCCCAGAACACTGCAACCGTCATAAATTCGAGTCAGTTGCCATCTGTACCGAGGGACGCCACCAGTTCATACTGGGTCACTATCCCGGCTCTCGGTCCATACAAGGGGGAAAGGGAACCGAAGGTGGTTGGAAGAGCAACGTAAAAGCAAAGGAGCAGTGGGTGGAAGCAGAACTCATTTAAGAACTGAAAAGGAACGCCGGAAAGACGCACTCGAGGGCGAAACAGGCAAGGGGAAAGAGGCCGTCTCAGCCCCGAGGGAGCCCTGTCTCTTCGGAGAAAGTGAGGCTAGTTGAAGGCAACACCATTACCTCCACGAAGCGCCGCTTGTAGGAGGGGAAGTACGTCTCGTAGCCGAAGGGAAGCTCTACACAGGGAGTGACTCCAGAAAAAGTTTTGGGAAGTTTTGGCTGTGCCGAGGCTCGGAAGCGTTGCAAGTCCTTTTAAGCCTTCGCCTTTATTTTGGAGCGGTTTTGAAGAGGCAAACTGAGCCGTTCCTGAGGGAAGCTTGGAGGAAGCCTCCGCCGACACCAACCCCGGGTAGCTGCAAACCGAGGGCTTTGCGGAAAGTGCTACGACGAGGAGCGGCTCTGCCTTGGACGCTGAGACTCCAGGCTGAGGAGCCGAACTTCGCCTGGGTGCAACGGCCGCTTTTGTTCATCTCCGAAGACTGAGAGCCCCCAAGCCCAGTGCGGGGCAGGCGCGGCTTCTTTCCACCGACAGAGGCCCGTTCGCGCCATTCCCATGGAGCCCGCGGCAGCTTGCAAAGGTTGAAGGATGAAGGAAAACGGATTTTACAATCCATCCCACCCCCGCCGCCCCACCACTTCAGCCGAGAAAAACCAACCACCGGTGACTATAGCACAAGGATTATTTTACCCTTACCCTGCCTTACCCTCCCCAGCCCAGCGTTTTTACCCTTATGGCTTCCTTTCCACTGAAGCTTGGTCTGGTTAGTCAGTTTTTTAACTGGGTTTGTGCAGGGCTTTTGTCTTTTGCTTCGGCTGCTTTGCTGTACCTGGAGGCCACCATCGCCTCGTCCCCCTACCCGACATATCCCGCATTCCGTATGGCAGCGACCCACAGCCTGACTTTCCGCCGCTGGAGAGTGTCGGTCTGCTCCACCAGCAGTCACAGCCCCCCCCCCCGTGGCGGCAGGCCTCGCCGCAGCAGCCCGCCTGGGACATAGAGGGGCAATGCTATTTTTTAGAGAATGTTTGTTGTGGGTGTGAGTATGCATGTAGATGAATGGTGGCCCTGTTATTATTATTATTGTATTTAGGGCGTATGAATGTGAAAATTTTTACTTTTTTATGTATATAAATTGAGTGTGAATGTGTATTGAGTGTTTGGGGTATGAGAATGGTGGAGTCGGGGGTGAAGCCTGGTACCCCCTCTGCTGAGTGCAATTGCAAAAGTAGGGGGGGCAGGACCCACCCTTGAGCTTGGTTTGTATGGAAAGCGAGTCCGGTCAGGAAGGGAGAAGGCTGGTGAGGGTGGGGGTATTCCGGGGAGGGGTGAAGGTCGGAGCATCCCGGTCATGACTGGGATGGGCAGATATGGCGGGAGCCGAGGGGCAGGCCATCTTTGGGGAACAAGGACTCGCTATGTTAGAGCGATTCCTTGTTCCGGCCCCTCAAAAGGCTCATCCTGTAGTACTGGTGACAGGGGAGTACAGGGCCCTGATTGTAGGCTGCTGTTGCTTAATGCCAGGTCCGTTGTCAGCAAAGCCCCCCTTGTCCGTGATTTAATATTGGACAGCGGGGTGGACCTGGCGTGTACAACCGAAACCTGGCTGGGCCCTGAGGGGGGTGTCTCCCTCTCGGAGATGTGCCCGGATGGGTTTGTGGTGCTTCATCAGCCTCGACATCAGGGCAGGGGTGGGGGAGTGGCAGTCATCGCTCGGAAGTCCTTGAGTCCTCGTAGGATTCCTGCCCCGGAGGTTGTTGGGTGTGAGTCCCTCCTATTGAAGTTGGGTTCACGGGTTCAGTTGGGCTTGCTGCTGACGTACCTACCTCCCAGCGGCGTTGCAACAGCCCTGCCTGCGTTGCTGGAGTCAGTAGCCGGGTTGGCGGTAGAGTTCCCCAGACTTATAGTACTGGGGGACTTTAACCTACCATCACTCGGTGATCGCTCAGAGGCGGCGCAGGAGTTCATGGCTTCCATGGCAACCATGGACCTGACCCAGGTAATTCAGGATCCGACTCATAGGGGTGGTCACACACTCGACCTTGTGTTTCTCTCGGGGCAATGGAGACATGATCTGGAATTAAGGGGAATAGAGATCTCTCCCTTGTCATGGACAGATCATTTCCTACTGAGGCTGGACTTCAGAGCATCACTCCCCCATCGCAGGGAGAGGGAACCGACTAGGTGGTTCCGCC